AGGGAAATGGGAGGCGGGGAGGAGGCGGAAATTTTTTTTTTCAATAAAAAAATTATATTAAAAAAAAGTGCCTTAGCCTCTGAATTGCAGGATTATCATGTGAGTTACCATGCCTGGCTTTAGTTGATTTTAGTGAATAGGCACATACTTGAGAAGTTACGCTTTTTACATCAAGTTACAGTTTTAGTCTTTCCTATAATTTTACTTTCTTGATTTATTACAATCCAGTTAGAGGACACATTACATTTAAAAAAAATCCCATTTATATTTATTAATGCTTCATCTAATAATTGAGTTAGGAAATATATTTCAACTACTTGACTGTGGTATAATTCTGCTTGAACGTGCAAAGGATAGGTTATTCTATTGTTCCAGTGGCTCTAGCTAAATTTTTATTCCAGTATATGATGGTTCTACAATAAATAAAATGAAATACCGCTTTGAGCTTATGAATAAATTGTCCATGGCATTTTGTTACCTGAAAACTTATTTCTGAATCTCACATCTAGACCTTGCCCATGGGCTTTTTCTTTGTTACATTTGACACTCTGCATCTATAGTGACTTGTAAGTCAAAGTCCCCAAGGTGTGACTGGGCGTTTAAGGCTCCTTATAACCTACACTGAACATCTATCTCAAAAACATATTGTTTTCCTGTTCCAGCATGCTCTCTTATTTGTGCCTTGAAATTGTGCAGTTCTCACTTTTCCTTTGTGCCAGCGAGCTTGCTGAGTTTATGTTTTAGAGCTTGTATGTTCTCACTGTCCCCATGGGGTGGGCTTCCGTTTTCTAGTCCTGAGACCTCTGCACAGACTCACTAACTGTGGTGTCTCTCTGCATCTCCTGCCTGTACTGTGATTGTGCGCATTGCCTTTGCCACCTCTTCTCCTGGGTCCCTTACACGGTTATGTGTGCATGGTGGGATTCACATAAACCTTTGTGGCTAGTGATGATAGAAATATGTTGAAGCAAACTTCTGGAATATCTCTTTGCCTGGACATCAGCCAGCCAGATACATAAACAGGTAGCCGCTGGGTGTCTGCCGATCACGGGCAGAGTTGAAAACACTGCGCACACTTAAGAAGTCCTAACTGATTTCATAGCCAGAGAAAAGACTGTTCCCAAGAAGTGAGTCAGTGATCGTAATGTGATTGCTGATGAGAGGCTGAGGGGGAGGGTGAGCTCCAGCAGTGGGATGAAGATGTGGGTTTATATGCAGCATGTGAAGTCTTCTGTCATATTCTCCATCCAGCCAGGAGCCTACATTCTTTACTGTCAAGAAAGTCCTGCTTTCAAAATAGCCCAAGGGCCGGGGAGATAAATCAGTCAGTGAAAAGTGCTTACTTTGCAAGCACTAAGGTTGATCTTGTTCCCCAGAACCCATGTAAATAAACTTGAGTGTGGTGATGCATGCTTACAGTCTCAATACTTGGGAGGTAGTGACAGGACCATCCCTGGGATTTGCTGGCCATCAGCCTAAGCTGCTTAGTTAGTCTTGGCGAGTAAGAGACATTGTCTTTTAGAAACTGGCGAATACCTAAGGAATTATACCTGAGATCATCCTCTGGCGCTCATATCTGTGCACATACGTGCACACCTGAGCACACATTCACCTGTGCATAATACATATAACATTCTGAGATATTAATAGTTATATATTTGTGGCATATACTTATGTTTTCATGCTTTTATTTATTTTTTGCAAATGTAATCTATCTTTAATGTTTGCAAATAGTTTGGGCCTATACACTAAATACTACCTATTTAGCAGGTTACTAATACATATCTTATAATGGAAAGTTTTGACATGGGGAATTTTTTATATAAACAAATCTACTTCTCAACCAAGAGGAACATACATTTAGGAAAAAGTAGGTTTTTCACAAGGACTGTAATGGTACTATCCTGGTTGTGCACAAGCACTATAATGGCATTCTCCTGGTTGTGCACAAGAGCTATAATGGCATCATCCTTTAAATATTATTTAAACTATGGAGATGATTGCTGTTAGCGAATGGCAAATCTTTGGGTGTGGTCAACTGGCAAGGGTCTGGGTCTTGCTAAGGGACACTGGCATCACCCAGCAGCTCAGCATTCATGGATGGGGGCTTTAGTTTATATAAACTAGCAGACATCAGCATGGCAGTCTGGTACATTTATGATCTCACTATACTGGAATTGATTTTCTACCAGGCGCATTGTTTCTTGGATTTTGAGAAAGACATTTAGATTAAAAGCAGCAGCTCTTATTTCTCAATTATTAGTTGATCCTATGAATCCTATCCGGTATTTATTTTACCAGTTAATCAATTGAGCCACAAGACACAGTAAGTTCTTACAAAATTCACGTGGAAAGAAGGTTGCAGAGATAGATTGAAAGCCAGGGAGCTGAGTTCCAGACTCCAGGCTCTTAAAGAGTAGCTGAAAAACTGATTCAGATGCAGGAATTCCATAGGGAGGACTCAAGGCTGAGTGGCCAAACAAGGAATATAAAGCATTTATAATGATTAACATTTTCTCAGACTGGAAGGGAAGTACCTGTCTCCGGCACTCCCTCGCTTACACCCAGCCTAGGCCTGCAGGGTGAATGGGAGGGATGGGGTATTGGCAGGTTCTGATGTTCAGATGACTCAACCAGTGTTCTGAAAACAGTGGGTTGACTTCTCATTTCTGGAGTCTCTGACTCAGGAGACTGGAGGTAAAGCCATCCAGACTTGGGTGAGCCCTGACTCTGGTTGGAGGGAAACTCTCTGACCCCTCATCTTCCTCTCAAGTGCCCATGCTTCACACGGTGTTCCCACTGTGCACATGCGCACATTTAGGTCGTGGCACATCTTTACGGAATGGTCTTTATGCAATAAGGAAAACCTTTAATTGTTGTTAAATTTCCTTAATTTTTTGAATGTCTTGGAAATTTGTTTTAAGTAATTAAAGGTTTTTGAGCCAAAATACTTAGAGAAAGAAAGTTTTTCTAGCCACAGACTGTTCCCTTTGCTGTGCCGGAGAGTAGAAATGTAGAGAATGACAGTCCTGAGTGACGTCACAGCATTGCTCAGACACAGCCTGGTCATGTCAGCTTACCCGCTCCTTGTATACTAAGGATATCAAAGATACCCGTGCCATTTTTAGGTTAAGTCAAGTTTCCTTATGAAAGCATGAAAGATATTATTTCCAGTTGAAAAGGAAGATGTAGGACCAAAAAATAATTGCCCTTAACTGGAAACACTTGTTAAGAATCTTGGTTTTGAGAAGAAAAGATCTATAGTTTGGTTGGTGTGTATGTTCATATACATAGCACTTATATTTAATAGCCTTATGAAATACTCTTTGCATATATGTATCTTATCTGGTGAATGGTGCTGTAGTTAGAGTTTTAAATTTATCAAATAGCTGAACAAATATATATTTAAAACAATTCAAAACCTACCACTATAGAGCCGAGTTGCGGGCTAGATTCCTAGAGTTAAAGAAAATGTGATGCATTCCTGATATTAGGAAAATTAACTTTAAGCAATGGATGCTGACAAATCTGCACAGCCTTCAGTCACACGGAGACAGGTCTTTATGGATCAGGAATGTCTGGGGACCGTGTTCTGAGAGACTGACATCTCCAGTCTTAATTCCTAAAACCTAAGTGAGTCTGCAGAAGCAAAGGCATAATTTTCATTGAGCGTGGCCTGCTGAACCCACATCATGGAAGAGTCTGGAGCAAATTGGCTGCTAATGTGATACTTTAGAGGCCGTGAAAAATTGTCTCCTTCTAACATCCAAAAGGTTTGATTTCTTGGTGAATTTTGATATATAGCAGGACTCGGCCTCTCTTACAGTGTTAATTGTATTTGCTGCCGGGAAAGATTTGTTTTTGTTTTTTTGATTTTGTTTTGTTTTTAAATGGGTGTTCTCTTTGAACTTTGTGCTCAGCACAAATTTTAAATGGAAATAAAATCTTAAGAGATATCAGTGAATTAATATCTGTATTAGAACTCGTTCTTGACCCCCCCCATCATTAAGTAGTTGATAACAGTATATGGACTTAAGGCGTTGAGTGAGGCATCTTGGGGCTACAGTTTATGTATTAGGAACAGCACTGTGTTTCAGAAATACATATCGTAAAGGGTGATGAATGCCACGTAGGGATGAACCATGAGATGCGAATTCTTGGGGCATTATTACATCTATATTTTATAAGAGAATCCCATATAATGATTCTTACATTCTTGTTTATAATTAAAGAAAAACTTAAGCAAGATAAAACCAAGATATAGGAAATATTTTTAGCAGAGTCTTTATGAGGTCCTGGCCCTCCTAATCTAGTCTAAAGTCACTGTTTTTTATTTGTTTGTTGAATCAATGATTCACTATGAGGACAAGGTTGGCATGGAGCTCACAGGGACTCACCAGTCTCTGTGGCCTGAGTGCTGGGATCAAAGGTGCGTGCCATGACTTCCAGAGAAGCTACCTCTTAGAAGATGGTTTTTGAAGTTTTTGTTTTTGGTTATTACTGCCAAAGTTTACTTCTTATTTCTCTTCAATAGACATCATTGTAGTAATTTCTTATTGCTTTGCCCGCTTTTAGTCATCCCAGGTGGAGTAAACTCTGCTTTTTTGAACTACAGTATTTTACAAGCCTCTGTAAGTCCACCACACTGCTCAGGCAGCCCTTCTGTTCTGGTCCCCAAACATCTACTGTAATCAATTCTTCATAAAACATACACTAGTCTCCTTGCCTGTTCCTTAGTATTTCTTGGTCCCCACCATTTTTCCCTAGTTAAAACAGTTTCCTGCATTTTTATTTTTTAAGATAATATACATAGTTCACAGTTAATTGAAATACCTTTCTTGTGGTGGTCTGATAGAGTTCAGCCTGGATCTATTCCTGTAGAATCTGTAAGGATCCATGAGTTTAGATCAGTCTGTGGCTTTGTTGTAAGGTGACTTACATTCATATTGGTCTGTCTGTCTGTCCAGATTGTAAATGTCTTCTGATGTGTTTTCTCCTAGTGTGTTAATGTCACATCCACAGTTCTGGATCACACAGGCAGTGACGTTCAGAAGTTCCCCACAGACCAGTGCTATAGCTTCATCTGTGTGAATGTAAGTATTAAACACAAACAGTTTGAGAAAACAGGGTCAGAGAGAATGGACCTTCTTGACCCTTCCATGTGCAACAGAAGATTGTGATAGATTAGCTGTGCTCCTCACTCTGTGCTTTAAAAGTGTCCATCTTTCTATTTCAGAGAGGCAAACATTCTTTTCTGAACCCATTTCCTAGTATGATGCAAGTATAACTTCTATACAGTATTTTTAATTTTTGTATATATAAAGCAGATATTATGACATAAGTTCAATTCAGAAAATAGCCCAAATCTTTGTATGCATAAACGATGGTTGTTCTCTAAAGTGGCATAGTGGTATTTTCTGATAAGTATGTTGGCTATGATGTAAAGTTCATCCCCCTGTGAGTCAACTTCCATTCTCTAAGAACTTCCTTCACTTTCTCTTAGTTTGCTGTCTTCAAGGTTGTGTCCCCTGATTTTCATGAGACCCAGAAATTCTTGAGTACCCTTGAGGAGAGTGGCCTTTCTCTTTTGTATCCTGTCGTTGTTGTTTTGGTAAGTGAGTAAATGTTTTTTTTCCCCCCTCTCATTGAACCTCTGCTTCCTTCTTGTTTCTGTGCAAAAAAATTGGTTCAATTGAGTGTGTACATCAACATTCAGAAGAAACTCCAAGGTAAAATTCAATAAAATGGCTTTAAGTCTAGATAGCTTATATACTAAACATTGAAGGAAATGTATGTAAATACATATACATGCATGTAGTATGGGAGTTTATATTATAAACATGAATTACATTTATATTTGTTATATGCACATATATTNCTGGCATGGACAGCAGTCACAATGACCCTGTCTCAAAACAAGGTGGAAGGTCAGAACCACATGCAAGGTTGTCCTCTGACTTACACATGCCACAGTATATGTACACACAACACACACACACACACACATATATATATATATATTGTGTGTATTAGAAGTCTCAGAGGCCATTCTGTCCATTTTGCTTCTTCTAAATTAACTTTGCTGAGGAATCAATACAAAATATGGTTTTGTTTTAATTTTTAATGAGGTTATAGTTAAATGATTACAAATTCTAAGACTAGACAAAAAGATACCTGGTTGTTTTTTACATAGTATTCTTCATCCATCACAAATATGTTCTAAAATTATATATGATAATTATGTATTTTTATGTTGAACTAGTATGGTTCAGTAGATATAAAATGTACATTTTATTGATACATGACTTCATATCACCCAGGCTTGCCTCTCACTGTGTTGCTAGAAATGACCTTGAACTCCTCAGCTCCAAGCACTGTAATCATGCGACCATTCTACTTGTTCTGTCCAAACTGTAAATGCTTACAGGAAATTTTAGTTTTCAATGAGTTGTACAGTGGCTAGAAACTCCTAATTTGACTCTCCCCTAGAAGAGTCATATATAAACCAAGTGAAATTATGATTACTTCATTCTGTTTTGGACATTTGTGAAGTTTTTAACTGATGACCACTGTCAATTCAGAAGATTATAATCTGCACTGTCCTTATTTTCCATGCTGTTGAGTCAAATGTTTACAGGAAATGGAGACTAAAGGCCAACTAAGCTGAGGCATTTGACCAAAGCATTAATTTAAAAGTTAAATTAAATAAAGAAGGAGAACCCAAAGAAAATCATATAGGCTTCCTCCTGAATATTAACCTTCATCAGGCGATGAAAGGAGACAGAGACAGAGACCCACAATGGAGCACCGGACTGAAATCTCAAGGTCCAAATCAGGAGCAGAAGGAGAGAGAGCACAAGCAAGGAACTCAGGACCGCGAGGGGTGCACCCACACACTGAGACAATGGGAATGTTCTATCAGGAACTCACCAAGGCCAACCGGCCTGGGTCTGAAAAAGCCCGGGTTAAAACCGGTCTCGCTGAACATAGTGGACAATGAGGATTACTGAGACCTCAAGAACAATGGCAATGGGTTTTTGATCCTACTGTACCTATTGGTTTCGTGGGAGCCTAGGCAGTTTCGTGGATGCTCACCTTACTAGACCTGGATGGAGGTGGGTGGCCCTTGGACTTCCCACAGGGCAGGGAACCCTGACTGCTCTTAGGGCTGACGAGGGAGGGAGACTTGATTGGGGGAGGGGGAGGGAAAGGGGAGGCGGCGGTGGGGAAGAGACAGAAATCTTTAATAAATAAATAAATAAATAAATAATAAAAAATGATAAAAATAAAAAAAAGAAAAAAAAGTTAAATTAAATTCTTAAAATTTATTTTATTTACGTAAATAATATAATTAAGTGTGTGCGTGTGTGTGTGTGTGTGTGTGTGTGCACGCACATGTGGATGAGCATGCATGCACATGTGTATGTGTATGTAGGTCAGAAGATGACTCCCGAAAGTAGATTATCTCTTCTAACATGTGGGTTCTGGATTGAACTCCTGTCCTCATGCTTGGTGCCTTTATATACACAGCCATCTCATTGGCTCTGGGTTGTTTTAAGTGTTAAATGGTGGTATGACGATTAGCAATGATTAAGCTCAGGTTTTCTCATATTGTCAAGTAGACTCAAAAGGTTTTCTTGGTTTCCATCCACTTTTAAGTTGACCGTATTTAGGAAATCACACACCAAAAGGAACATAGAATGTGCTCCCAAGTCTTGGTATAGTGGATTGGATTTATTCTAGATTTTGTGCAAGTCTTTTTTTTATATATATAATTTCTTATTTAAACCTTAATGGGATTGGAGCATCTTTAATGTTGGAGACTTTTATTATTTAGGATAAACTGGCATGGGTAAGTAGTTTCTACTTTAAGACACAGCAAAGTAATGCACAAAATTTCCACAAAAAAGGCAAGGAAAAAATGAAGCATTTTGGGAAAAAACTGAGAAAATTGTTGAACTAATTTTTTAAAGAGTTAGGTTTTTTTTTCATAATCTTTTAATGTTATCATGTGGTTATTATGACAAACTTCATTGCAAGTGGTCATTTTTTTCTAAAACATTTTGGGTAAGTTTAATTTTCTAAAAATAATTTATTTTCCCTTCAACATTAAAATATTGTTGCAGATCTTCTATTTTTCATCATTCTCATTTTCCTTTTAATTGTTTTTATATCACCTCACTTTAACAAATTCTTGTGTTGATAACATTTAGTATATTTGTGGAATAAACCTGCACTAGTATTTTCTATATTTTTACTAATTCTTAGAAAAACTTCATATGTATTTTGAACATATCCACTCTCCCAATTCCTGCTATTACTACCCTCTCAACATCTTTGAGATTAATTATTTTTCCTCTTTCTCCACGGAGTCCAGTTTGTGTTGCACAGCTAGTCTTGGGACAGGGGCCAGCTCTTCTGTGTGGTCCGTCTATATGTGTCATATTCTTAAAGCAATTAAACTCTCCCTCATGCAGCCAGTATCAAATGTGAACAGCTTTCCCGCCAGTGATGGGATCAAGGGTCTCTTCCATGCCCCTCTATACTAGAAGCTAGCATTACTTTGATCAACCTAAAATCTTTGTTGTGGCAGATTTAACTACATATTTCTACAATGAGCCTGAGATTGTTGGTAATATTGGCTGATTATTTAAAACAGATGTTTGTATTAAAAGTAGAAAAGGGATTGCTTAGTAGAATTATTCCTAGTGCTATATTTTAATGAATTTGCATGTAGTTTGGGTGACATTTATTGTCCTATACCCTTTTTTTAGTTATGACCTTTGGAAACACATTATCAGATAACAAACATGGTTCCCACTGGGAGACTGTTCCCCATTTGGAAGAAAAATACTCTATTATAGATTATTCCATATAAAAAGGATTCACAATTTAGAGAGTTTATGATATTCAGCAAGAAAAGTCTAAAATACAGTGATTTCTCTCTCAAAAAATTGTAATGATACGATCGGTTTCTGTCTGAGGTGCTATTCCTGTTTCTTGTGTTGGTGTGTATGCGTGGTGTCTCTTATTGTGTTTGATGAGATATTTTCATATGACATCGTAATGTGCCGTCAGTGTGCTCCCTCTCCGACCCTTCTCTCTCTTCCCCACTGCCTTTGTTCCTTTCGTCTCCTGTCCCAACTACCTATAACATAACATGTATCTGTATAAAATCTAGGATCCAAAGAGGAGAGAAAGCATCTTTGCCTTTGAGACTGATCTAACCCCTTGGAGGAATATTTCTGAGAAAATTTTTGCCAAGCCTATATTTCCAAGCATTCCCACAGCTTTTTCCTCCAACAGCTTTGGCCTTTCAGGTCTCACATTAAGATCTTTGATGGAGTTGGAATTTGGTTTTGTTCAGGGTGAGAGATAGGGATCTCTCCTCGTTTGTGTATGTATGCATATCCATGTTTCTAGAACAAGTATTCAAAAATCCTTTTCTGATGATTGTTTTGATGTCCTTGTCAAAAATTAGGTGTCTCTGGCTGAGACTGTGTGGATTGACTTTTAGGTTCTCAATTCTACTTCATGGTCTATGCGTCTGCTTGTTCAAGTGCTATGCTGCATTTGCTGCTGTGACTGGAATATGTCTTGAAAGCAGGCGTGGTAATATCTCCAGCTTTGTTCTTTCTGTTGAGGATTGCTTATTCTACTCAACCTTTCATGTTTCCTTATGAAATTCAGGACTCCCCTCTAGTTTTCTAAATAATGTTACCTGATGTGGGAAGTCCTTTTGTATGTGTGTTGCTTTTGCTTTTATTGGTTAATAAAGAAGCTGCTTTTGGCCACTGGCTTGGCAGAGTAGAGCTCGGTGGGGGAAAAATAAACTGAATGCTGAAAGAAAGATGGGAGAGTCAGGACATGCCATATCCCTGACGCTGGGGACAGATGTGCCCTTAAGCCACAGCCTGTGGTGATATACAGATTAATAGAAATGGGTTAAATTAAGATGTAAGAGCTAGCTGATAAGAATCTAGAGCTGATAGTCCAAGCAGTGATTCAAATAATATAGCTTCTGTGTAGTTATTTCAGAGCTGAGCAGCCAGGAACAAGCAAGCAACCTCCTACAACAGTCACCATCACTGTGATTTTGTAGAATGTAGAATGAAGAATGTTTGCAGTAAATTCTGCCAATCCATGACCATGGGAAATCTTTCCAAATCTTGTAGTGTCTTCTTCAGGTTTTTTTTCCTTCCATGTTTTAATTTTTTTCATTTTTAAATTTTCATTTTGGAGGTCTTATAGTTCCTTAGTTGGGTTTATTCCAAGGTATTATTTCTGAAGCTCTTATGATTAGAATTACTTTCCTGATTTTTGCATGCTCGTGATGCATCCTGCTACTTTCTGATAGAGTTTGTTAGTTTTAAGAGTTACCTGCTAGAATTTTTATGGCTACCTATGTATAAGATCATGCCATTTTATTTATATTCCTTTCTATATATTCTTTCTTACTTATATTCCTTTTCTTTCCTTTTAGTCTTGATTCTTTGCCTAAAACCTTGAGAATTCCTTTGAATAAGAGCTATGGAAAGTGAACATTCTTGCCTGGTTCTAAATTTTATAGTGGAAAATGCATTGAGTTTTTCCCATTTGACATACTGTTGA